GCCGCCCTGGCCCCCCCGCACCCTCAGTGAGCCTCTGCCCTCCCCTTGCAGGTGACAATGCGGGTGGCCGTGGGGCACCACGGGCCTGTGCCACGAGCCCGGAGCGCCCCGCGGGTGCTGCAGATGCTCCAGCCCTGCCAACACGTCGGTGTCACATTAATATTGATGCCCGAGCAACGCCGGGGAGGCTGCTCCGAGCAGGACCGGGGCTGCCCGGCCGCACACGCGGCCCCCGCGCTGCCGCCGTGTCCCGGGATCGGAGCCCTGGTGCACGTGCAGCAATGCAACCAGTGCTCAGCACGAGGAGCAAACCTCCCCTGTCACAGCGCGTTACCTTGCAGGATATAGGCGGCCAGCAGAGCGGCATCCGAAGTCTTGCAGAGCAGGCGGCCGTGGTAGAGGTCTCGCTTGATCTGCAGGAACACTAAATACCTGGGGGGAAAGAGGGATTCCATCACTACGCAAGGTTAAACGCCCCAGCTGGGCGGTTTGGACGGGCAATATCTGCAAGGGCCTGCGCTGCCCTCCTTGCCAAGCAGCCCGTTCGCAGGATGCTCCATTCAGAGACCGCACGGTGCTCATCCCCAGCGCCTCCCAGGGCAGGGCTCGGATTCGGGCCTTCTGTCCTGCCCGCGCCTGCGGGACGCGCTGGAACACTTATATATTTGAATAAACTTAAACATAAGTTACGGCCTGGGCTGCATCACGCAGCAATGCATTTGGGAAGACCTGATAAAATGTGAGCTATACAGCTAGGCAGTAAAACGGAAATTGGAGTGCTTAGAAATATGTTTAAATGCTCAAACTCGCTCTCTGTGGTATCTCGGTCACGCTTGACTTCTCAAGCCCATTTTTATGATGACAAAACCCACTAATTTTCACAGATAAAACGTATTAAAGATAAATCCGGCCATTAAAGACCACTCTCACACAGCGCCCTGCTTCCGCCGGGAATAAGAGCAGCATCAGGGCCGCTCCATGGGATAGGGACAAGCCGAGCCCTGGTTCGTGGAAGGGGGAAGAGCCCTCGGCTGCATCCCTGGCGGCTCCTGCTCCGTGTGGACCTGCCGCTGCCTTCCAGCCCTCCCCACCAGCCTTGACTGCTGTACACGTTTGCCAACCTCCGATCAAAGAAAAGACACGTAATTAACACCCCGTACGCATAGTTTAATGCCCACATAATAGCTGTCATTATTCAGAGGAGATGTCTTTGGCCATTTCACATTTAAATTAAAGCCTAATGACTGCATGGGGTGGCTGTTGCTAGGAGTTAGCATGAAATCTGCAAACTAAATAAAGTCTCGGAGAAAAAACAAGATGCTTCCGAGTGAAATCTCTCCCAGGACACTTGTGGGATTCTCCCAGAAGGTGCGGGACAAGAAACCCATCACCCGCCACATGTCCCGCACCGCGGGATGTGGGGACACTGGGACGTCCCCAGCAGGGCAGCCCCGGGCACGGCCCTGGGCTTTGCTGCTCCCCTCTCCTTAGCTCTGCACGGCAAAACGCATCCCTCCATCCCCTGCTTTTGCTCTGCTAGCTCCTCTGTCCAACAACACCACAGACACCTTGTTAACGCAAAGCTAAAGGAAAAACGGGGCCTAGAAATATTCTAAATACACCTATAAAAGACAGCAAAATCCTCTCTCATTTGCTGCCTGCAAAAATAGATTGGAAATCCAAAGACTGAAATCCTGGAATATATTTAGCTCTTTCAATAAGCCTACTTAATTCTTGATGTGCTTAGCAAGGACCTTAGCTATTCGTTCAGAATATTTAATGGCATATGGGGCCCGTGTGCTGCAATTCTCCAGATGCCACTGGAAAAACAACCCCGAGCTCAGCAGGGCCCGGATGCTCGGGGAGATTGAGAGCTCCAGCCAAGGCAGCGAGAGTGACACGCGGTATTTGTCACCATTTAATGGCTATCCGGGGCCAAGAGAAGGTCGGAGGTCCTTTAATTTGCAGTAGCTGGCTGTCCACGGCACAAAATTACATTTGCAGTCTGCTTTGAAGGCAGAAGACAAAGTTTCTGCTACTTTTCTTTCTTTTTTTCCTTTTTTCTTTCCTTGAACACAGGGCTTCCTTGCTCGGAAAGGCAGCGTTCAGCACGTGCCGCAGGCAGAAGCGAGGGCAGAGGGCGCGTGGCTGCTGCACACACAGAAACGTGTTGGACACATCCTTATCTGCCCCCAAACCGATTTCTTTACAAAGCCCTGCTCATCCTCATTGCCTGCACCACGGACATTCCTCCTTTTCTCCAAGCTACCACCTCTGCAGTTGTGTGTCCTTCAGCACAGGAAAACTAGAGCCAGGGCATAATCAGGGGTAAAAAATAGATATATTTTCACTCCTCCACATGTTGTTTCTCTGGATCACCTTACTACCCTTGACTTTAACGAAATAAACCTGCTAATTTATAAAAACAGATAGGAGAGCGAAATACGCGACTCCTGGACGGCTTCCTGCTGGAATCTCCCGACTCCTGGGCCATGGCGACCCAGTTCCCGGTGGCCCGCGGCCCAGATAGCCTGGGATCCTTCGCACTGATTTGAAAGGTTTCTTCGAGTTCTGCAAATGGCCACAGTCCAGGAGCAAATGGGGTCTGCAGTGATCACACGAGGGCAGTTTTGCAGCCTTGGCGAACTCGGGACGTCCTCGACGCTGTCACCTCGGCAGGCGGGCAGGCACAGCGGGTATCGCAGCCAGGAAAAAGCAGCCAAATCGTCTTAAAATTATCACTCAGCCTAACGGAGCAAGAGGCGCTGCAGGAGCCTCCGCTCGGGCTGCCGGAGGCCCCTCCGTCCTCCCGCCGGCCATGGGGACACCGAGCGGTGTCACCCCCGGGCACGCTGCGTCCCACGACGGTTCTGCAGCTGCAGAGCCCGCGGGGCACCAGCCCTGGGCACAGCCGGCGCTCCAGCCCATCCCTCTGCTGCCCCCGGTTTGCAGCTCGTGCCGATGGCTCCCCCGATGGCACAGGGGATTTCAGCGCTCAGCGGGACGAGCCCTCCCAGACCCGTCGCACCTGCAGATCCCAAAGCTGCAGGCTCAGGGACAAGGCGCAGGCAGCCCCTTCCCACGCGGAGCATCCAGCGACCCCGCGGAGCCCCACGTCCCCAGCCGCGCGTGACAGAAAAGCCTGAATTAAGATCTCTGCTTCTGCATTTTCCCACACCAGTACTCTTATTAATCTTCTCCCTAACGACCCCCAGACCTGGCAAAGACGATTATAAATTATTAGCAGTAATAATGGCAAAAAGATCCCCAAGGGAAATTCAGAGAGTTTTAGCAAAATTATTAGCACAGCTTCGTGGTGCCGAGGACAGGGCTCGCCGATGGTGCATGTGCTGTTCCGGTACCCAACTCCCCGACCGGGTTTTGTTGTCCGAGATGTCCATGAGCTTTCCCCGAGCTCTCACATCCCGCTCATCACCTTCCTCTGGAAGGAAGAGCAGCACGAACAGCCCCTAAAGATAGAAACTGGATAAAAGCAGCGCTGGCTTCTTGCATCACAGTTTATCATCTGCTTCCTCTAGAGCGTTCACTCCCCTTGATCAGAAAGGGACGGGGACAGGTATGTCTGGGGGACTGCAAGGAACCTAGAGACATTCGGACCATCCAAACCAGCTCCAGAGCATGTAGCAACTGTCTGAGCTAGGGGGTATTCAAGCAGCCAGAGTAACAACATCCTGGGAATGCGGAAAGCAAAACTAGGAGCAAAATGAACTGCTCCTGCTTGGCTCTCCATGCACTAAGCTCACCGCGCTGCACCACGGAATTCCAGCTGGAAAGACTGCAGAGCACTATGGGCAAAGGGGAATATAGAGCACGAGAAGGGAGCAGAGGGGACCCGGCGGCCGCGGCGGGACGCGGCCCTGGACGTCGCTGCAGGACGCGCTGCCCTCGGAGCGCTCTGCTCGGGGACCTCCCCGCGCCCGCACGGGACCCAATCCCAGCACCCGATCCCAGCCGGGCTCCAAGGGATCCCACACCCAGCGTTTCCTGCTGCGTCCCGGCGGTGCCAGCTCACACACACGCGGGTTTGCCCGGAACAGCGCGTGCCGCACGGCAAACCTCGCAGGGGGCCGCTGCAGGCCGGG